GAATTCTCAAACCAGAACTACATATGCGTACCTTGACTGATCTTAATCCAACATTGCACTTGAATCAGATTCACAAATGCACTAAGGACCAAATTCAAACAACCTTGGAATGCATCCTAAAATATTTAATCATGAAACAATCTAGATCTTCAGATGCCTTAGAACCTTGCCACTTGTATACCCTTGAACCAAATGAGTAGGAATATGCCTTGTCATCACAGGATCGTGACTTTGTCACGGTCTGATAACTTGATTCATTCACAAATGACATGGCTTGACTCACAAACCCTAATTGAAACTTGATTCATTCACAAACGACATGGCTTGACTCACAAACCCTAATTGAAACTTTGAACACACACCACTTGAATAATTACAAACCTTGGCCTTGATCCTGAAGCAAACCCTTGCTTAACCTTAATCCATGTTGCATACGTCTTTGACTTGATAAACTTTGAATTCAATTTTGCACAAACTTGAACAACAAGCAGACGCAACATATACTTTTATTTTTGAATGATGGTTAGTGGATGGATGTACAGATGAAGGAAACACACATGTAGGACAAATTTGGGGTATGGCACTGACATATATAAGTATAGGGGGATGCCATTCTCTAGGCGTGTTAGCACTGGTGGGGTCGCTAAAAGGTCTGTAAATCTGAAAATGCCTCTACACACTCGTTTGTCCCCTCAAACCCCTCCTTATTCTTCAGAGAAGAGAAAAATGGAAGGCTTTTTCGCATGCTCAAGAAAGAAACCTAGATAAGGCGGCGAACCGCCCCATCAACTATTGTACATCTTTCATTGAAGTGGAGCTTCTCATATCAATAATCTCTTGAAACTTGTAGGGGTTTACCTCTATTCGCATTCTTGTCAACATGAACCCTATAAACATGCCCTTTCTATCCCATACATACCAGAAGGGGCCAGTGCAAATGTTTCAAGGTTTCTTTTAAGCAGAATGACCAAGTCTTCCTCCTCGGCCTCTGTCAAAGATGTGCCCTGTTTTGTGGTATGCGATTTTTGTGGGAAAATCATGAATTCCTTCAACTATTCTATCGACATGATTTTCTCCCTCCCATGCTCTACCCTAGGGGTCCAGATCTAAGAAATTAACCCTTGTACCGTCTGAAAATGGCACATAGATGTAAATCGCGTTTTCTCTTCAGACCCTCAAACTATCTTACTATCACCTTTGGAAATTTCTTGATCCCTTTAGATCACACCAACACGACCATTTGACAACGAATACTTCATGCATGAATAGAGAGTTGTCAATGTGGTCCTTATAAGGTTGAAAAAGGTCATCCAATGATGATGTTGTACGAACACATGATATCTACCACAAAATAGCTCAATTTAATAATCTAGGCATTCTCCCTAAGTCCAAACACCCTCTGTAGAGTGATATAGTTGTTCACTTAGGTGTTTTCGTCTAAGAACCTACCAGAGAGCCTCTAAAGGGATTGAGCTATTTTGGATCCAAATTTAGTTACCTAAGGCGCCTTAGTATAATACGCCTGTCAATCTTCCTAGGTCGATAAACACTTTCTTGATCTCTCTGTCATCCCATTTTACCTTTATGACCATAGGATCATTCTCACGAGGGAGGATCCACACGCCGATTTTTCAGGAGAAAACAATTTCTAGCTCTAGACCATCCTCTAGGTTCGCCTTAGATTTAGTAGGCAAGTTCTTCACGACCATGACTTGGTAGGCATATCGTCTACAAAAGTAGATAGGCTTCCCCTTGTAAATCTTCCAGCAATAATGTTTAAGGTGTGATTAACTGGTTTGTCATCCTCTCTTCTTTATTGCTCTTTGTCTTTCCTTGACCTATGGCTTCTGAGGTGATCACATCCTTGATTCATGGAGTCACCTTCAGTCTTTTAAGAGCTTCCCCTAACATACTTCTTAAGTTGGCTCTCTTGCATAAGTCGCTCGATTTATTTCTTAAGTTCATAGTAGTGATTTGTGTAATGACCCCTCATCTTTTGGTACTTGGACCATCTATCGAGTTTGGGCCCTATTATATTGGTCTTATACATCGCCCATTAGAGAAAATGTGACCCGATCCGTTTGAAGGTTGCCTTGTCTTGCGATGTATATTGACTTCTATGTTGCTGTTGTGATGAGTCAAATACATCAGAGGTGCGCTCATTGACATATCTAGCATTCTTATTGACATTTATCTCCTCGTCATTGATGTAATATTCAACATGTGCCATTATTTCACTCATGGAGACAACAAGCTTCTGGGAAAGTGATTTATTGAAGTGTCACATCCTCAAACCGTTTTGGAATACCCCTTTGAACATCTCTTAGTTTGGGTAAATTAACTTGATGGTTGCCTCGTTAAAACGGGAGAGATATTACCTTAGTGTCTCTGAATTCCCCTAGAAGACATTGAATAGGCTGGCAGTGGACACCTTCTGGTGTTTTCTTGTTGAGAATTGGTCAATTAATTTTTTGAATAGATACTGGTAACTAGTTAGTGAGAAACGGGGGAGGTTCATAAAGCATCTCTAGTATGCCATATTAAAAGTTCTAGGAAAGAACCTGCACGTCAAGTAATCAGACGCGTCAATGATTTCCATATGAGTATTGATGGCAGTGATGTGCTCTTAGAGGTCGCTCTTCCTGTCGAACATCACCAATGATGACAGTTTGAAATTCTCTAGAACTGAAGTGCTCCAAATCTCCTCTGAGCGAGTTTGGGATTTCAATACCTCATCATCTACATGGAAATCCTCACGGTGCCGCTCCTAGAGATTTAGGATATTCACCTCCAAAGTTTGATTGGAGCAGTGCAACTCCTCCATGACAACACACATCTATGCTATGGTTTCTTGGTCACAAGGACCAGAACTGCTATCTGTGGTGGTGTCTCGTCGTGTCACAATGTTGAACAATATGGTTGAGGCAATTAGAAATTTGAGTGAGTGTGTTATATGTGAGTTTTAGCAAGACACCACAGTGGATGCCAATTATACTTGTGAAATACATTAAGGATTGTTAAGAGTCAGCTTGTATATATAGATAGCAAGAAACTCTATGTATTATGGTTCTATAGAATTAGTGGATGAATATCCAAAGTCTGAGGTTGGAACATTAATAGGGATCCTTGGGCTGGATTAGGCAGAGAGAAATTGTTTTCTCCTAGTTTCTTAGTTAAGGTGTAGAAATAAGGGAATGTCATTTCTTCCTCAGATCTTGGAGAAATTGTTTTTCCCTTTGACTACAACCTTCCAAGTCATTATTCTTGGAACATCTCACAAGCAACTTGTAAATGGATCATAGATCATATGTCGTGTAAGGCGACCCATATCTAATTAAACAACCTGATGCACGTTCGTCAAGTGTTGCAGTATCTGGTTTGGGCCGCTTTGTCATGGACCGACTCTTTTGGGTACAATAAAATCAAGAGGAATTAACCTGCCACCCCCAAACTTTCATATTTTCAAAACTGCCCTTAAAAAATTTGAAACAAGTGAAAAAAATTTATATTATCGAAATTTTCAAAATTTCCGATAAAAAATGAAAATTTTCATAAATTTCAAAATTTCAAAATTTTTTTTACATTCCCACCAATTTCAAAATTGGTGGTACTGTATCGAAAATTTCAAAATTTTCAGTACTCTACCACCAATTTTGAAATTGGTGGTACTGTACCAGAAATTTCAAAATTTCCGATACTGTACCACCAATTTTGAAATTGATAGTAGTGTAAAAAATTTCACTTTTTTTTTCAAAAAATTTGAAATTTCTGATATTTTTTTTCGAAAATTTTTATTTTTTGTCGAAAATTTCAAAATTTCTAATTAAAAAAAAATAGAAATTTTCGAAATTTTTGATATATATCACGAAATTTTCAATATACCACTATAAATTTTATAATTTTCAAAAGTTTTAAATGGCAAAAAATTGAATTTCTTCATAATTAAAGCTGCCAAATATAACACGGTGATAGGTTAATTCCTCTAAAATCATCCTAGAGTGCAGTAGTGTTACTTTTCATTTCTTTCATTTTAACGGGTTGAAGTTCAAATAGATCTAACTAATTTTTATATATGTTCAACATAAATTTTGAGAATAATAAATTTCATCCAATAAAATTTAGTTTATTGTGTTTTAGAAGAATATTTGTACTATCAAATAATTATTTGTCCTTAGATTATAATATTAAAAAAGTTACAATGATATAATATTTACAAAACCTTCAAATCTAATAAACTTCTTCCAACCCCACAATATGTAGGTTATCGTTTAATTTATTATATAGAAACAAAAAATGATTTAATGCATACTTTTAGTTTTGATAATAGTAGAAAACTTTGAATGTTTTGTAACCTTTATTGTCTCTCCCTACCTTACATATTAGCCTTTCTCTTAAAGATTACACTCTTTTATTTTTGTAAATTTACTTGGAAAAAATGTATACACAAAGACACTTTCTCATATATTTCTACATTATTATTAGATTGTTTAATAAACAAATGTGATACATCCACAATGTAAATTTTTTTTATACTGTTTATTAATAACGATCATGCATTTTATTAAATCATACTAAAAATTTTAAAATAATTATATGATATGACAAAATAATATATTCTTATTAGATAACAGTGTAAAATTTTTTTACACGGTCAATGTGCATCACCATTAAACCTTTGTTTAATTAACTTTGAAAAAAGATTAAAATCCTTAATACAATATGCCGCTCAATCAAACAAACTATGAGTGCTTCTTGACTAATGATGATGATTACAAGTTCATGCCAATTTACAAGCCTAAATATATCTTATCAAGCTTAAAGAAAGACACAAGCTTATTACGTTGTGACATAATTATTGTCAACTTTATCCACAACACAGAGAACTATACAACAATTTTATCATTCCATAAAGTTTTTCACCACACACACAAACATGAAACCTCATAAGGTCACAGACAGAGCACAATTCTAATATCACATGTGAATCATCATCACCATCATTACTCCATGATTAATTGCTTGTGCCGATTGATATCATTCAAGTAATTTGAACAAGTATAGTCTTCTAAATCACATGCATCTAACAAGAGTGACCTTTGTGCTATTGATTTTTGAGTGAAGTCCATAGCCACCTCTTCTCCCTTCAATAGTAGCACAACCTATTATTTCCACAAAATAAAATTAGGACCTCATAGTAAATAAATAAAATATGTTTATTTTTTGAAAAAATGTTTCATGGACACCACTTTTTATACAAGATTTAGTTAACTATACACAAATGTATTATTTTATTTTATAGTCAAGTTTGTGGCTAATTCAATTATCCTGTCTTTAATATAAAAAATATATATATTGTTTTTAAAATTAATTGAATAATCAATGTATTTAGACTAGATGTAATCTAAATACATATTAATTTTTTAATAAATTTAAAAACTAAATTTTTTCTTATATTAAAAATAAAAGGGAAGGGGTATGAATTAACCATATATTTTATAATATTAATTAAACTAACCATCTGATTCAATCGAATTAACCAAATTTTTATATTGGTTAATCAATTGTCCAACGTTTGTTATATTTGACGAATGAACCAAATCATGTTGCACAAACAATTTTAAAACAGAATTAAATGGTAAAAAAAATAGAACCAAAACTAAAATCGAGCCAATCCGACGAAAAATTCTAAGAACATGTTTGAAATTTTAAGAATTTTTTTATTAAAAAATAATATAATAGGTTGATTCCTTAACATATGGTGCATGGTTTGGAAAAACCGTCTTCGAACTATTTGGTATGGTTCAAAATTTCAAATTGACATCTAAACCAACAATTTTGGTTCGCTTCGGTTTTAAATAAATTCAAATGATTCGGTTCCGTTCAATTGACATTTTATTATTATTCGGTTTGATTTTCCGACAAAATTGTACCATGAACCACAAGAGAAAAAAGGGTTTATAGGGTTTATGTTTATTAGAGGTGTTATTTTTGTTACCTGATTCATGTATGGCCTTTTAGAGGACATGTGGTGGATACACATGGAAGCTGTTGCCATGGCAATCTTCATTTCCACTAGATCATATTGCTCTTCTAACCTTGGATCTGCTATTTCTTTCACTTGCTTTGCATCCAATAGTGGTTTAGCCTGGCCACAACACATTATAAGGATATGTAACTAGCAACATATATAAAGCATTATGTTTTGGAAGACATGATGAGGGAAGAGATCATAAATACATACCCAGATTACAAGACTTTGCCTGCTATTGGAATCAACGGCACGGCGACCCGTCAGGAGCTCAAGTAACAATACCCCAAATGCAAAAACATCAGTCTTCTCATCCACAAGTCCATGCATGAAATATTCTGGAGCTAAATATCTGCAATTAATATTGAAGTTACGCAGAGAAGCAATGAATCACCAACACTTATGATCTAATGTGTGTCTGGTGTCTGACTCTGATACGATATTGACACATCTGATTACATTTAATTAATCTATTTTTTTTAAGTATGATCGGTGTCAGTGTCGTGTCAGAGCTTAATTTGATGCAAAAATGCCAACCCGAATGTGCCTTCTATTGGAAAAACAACATGGTGTGCCCATTTATCTGGAAGCCATTTCGCCAATCCAAAATCTGAAATCTGCAATTTATGATCATTACAGAATGAATTTATTACAACATCCAAAATTAAAACAAATATTATGAATTTGAAGTTCTCAATTTAACATGTTGTGTACCTCAGCTTCATCATTATGGTTGAGTAATATGTTTGAGGCTTTGATATCTCTGTGAATGATTCTTCTCGGACAATCTTCATGAAGATACTGCAAACCTTTGGCCACACCAAGTGCTACCTTGAACCTTCTCTTCCATTCCAAACATTCAGAACCTGAAATATCATTCAACACCATTTTCTTTAACCATGTAAAAAGTTACATCATAAATTTAACTGCAACAGTAAAACCATGTTTCAGAGAAAGATGAAGCAATGCACCAAAGAGCATAGAAGAAAGGCTTCCATGTGAAGCAAACTGTAGAACAAAGTAGAGTCCGCGGTCGATTCCAAAACCAATGAGTTTTGTTGCATTTGGATGGTTAATGTGAGCAATAATCCCAAGCTCTGATAAGAAATCACCAGCTTTATCTCCAGCTTCTTTTTCATTCCTCATTAGTCTCTTCACTGCTACAACTTGTCCATCTGGTAACCTTGCTTTGTACACTTCTGCATGGCCACCTTTTCCAATCATGTTCTCTACAAAACCATAAACAAATATTATCATTCCCATACGAATAATCAATGTATCTGTTCTATATATAGTTCTGATATATTAATTAAATCAATGTATCTGATCTGTATATAGTTCTGATATATCGATTAAATCAATATATAGTCTATATATAGTTCTGATATATGGATTGAATCAATGTATCTGTTTATTTCAAATTACTTACCAGAATTGAAATTATCGGTTGCAGCAACAAGATCTTCATAACTAAAATTTCTCCAAGAAGGCTTAGTAATTCCTTCGAGATCGAGAGAACCATCAAAATCATTCTCATCCTCGTTACCTGTTCTTGCACGAGCCAATTTATTCCTCAAATTTCTCCTAGAAATTTCATAGCTAGCAGCAAGCAAAGGAATGGTAGAAAATCTCCTCACAGACTTAAACCTCAATGCATCAATCATATTCCTCCATTGATGTCCATCTGCTCCTCCACTTGGTGATAACTTTCCTCCCTGTTGCGCCCGTTGTGAACTGCTGTAGTTTTCACTTCCCGTGCTGTCTGAATCCGAGATCGGTACTTCAAATACACATCTTGGTGAAGGTACTGGTGACCCTATTGAAAATTCGTTGTTGTTATTGTTGTCGTTTGTAATAACAATCTCTTTCTTAAAGCCGTTGTTGTTGTTATTGTTGCCCGTTATTAATTCGACAAAGTTTCTTCTCTTTTCTTTCTTCTCTTGATCCTTCTTGCTCCTTCTCTCTAATCTCTCCATCTTTAATAAAAAAAATATAAAAAATAAACCAAAAACTCTTGAAATTTTTTAGGACAACTACCTCGTACCCATATATATGTAGTTTTTTTCTTCTTAAAACTACGTAAAAATAACGGTTTTTATGTTATTGTTTCTTTGTGTCTATGATTAACATATTGAGGAGGTTATCTTGGCAAAGGGTTTATTCTAAAGATACGAAACATGCTTTGTTCATTCCCACGCAGAAAATTTGTGAAAGGAATTAAGCATTTCAATCTTAATATCACTATCAAGATGAAAATTCCTTTCACATGATTTTCACGGTGGAATGAAACAAGAAAGATAGAAAGAGAAGGAGGATTGAGATAGGGAGCATAGGGGATGAGACAGAGAGGTTTGATTCAAAATTGGTATATCTTTGAATGGTGGTTATTCTTAGAAAGAAGAGGAGAAGTGCATGGAAAAACCAGCTCAGGGTGATTGGAATCTTAACTATATTTATATTTTTTGTTTCTTTTATGGACACAAGTTTCTATTCTATTTCTTTTTGTTTATTTATATATGTTTGGTGGCTTTTTGCAAAGATTTTTCTGATTTTGAGATTATCTTGTATTCACGCCGTCATTCAATTTTAGACATTCATCTTAATTAGATGACACTAGATTATTTAATGTGACGAGTCTACATTACATAATTCAAATAAATATATATATATATATATATATATATATATATATATATATATATATATATATATATATATATATATATATATATATATATATATATATATATATATATATATATATATATATATATATATATATATATATATATATATATATATATATATATATATATATATATATATATATATATATATATATATATATATATATATATATATATATATATATATATATATATATATATATATATATATATATATATATATATATATATATATATATATATATATATCAATGCTCATTATCTTGCAAAATACATAATCCAAATAAATTGATATCAAGAGCACCATCAAACTCCCGTCAATGACAAATGGAATAACAACTTCTAATCAATTCTCTAAAAATCTCTTAAGTGTTCAAAGGATAACACTATGATAGTTGGTGCGCGCAAATCAATGTCATATTCAAATTTCAGGATGTTCTTGAAATCTTGAATGATGGTTTTCCTACATTGGAAGTCAACGAAATTGAGGCACAATGTATGGATCTAAACTTCTTGAAGAATATTATTAGGGAAGAAATGACTAAGGGTGTGCGAGATACACTAAATAAGTTGTTTTTCGTTATAGGACTAGAATTAATCGAAGAATAGTGGTTGTAGTGAGTAGCGGGGGACCTGAGCTTCTGTTGTGGTGGTAGAGGAGATGACCTATAAAGTTAGCACTCCAGCGCTTAAGTCAATATATGAAATATATGAGTGAATAAAATCTGAATTTGAAATTGGGTATCTGAAATTAGCGCGCATGTCATTTGTATAATGGAGCAGTTATAACAAAATATTACTCTCTAGGCGTGAAATGCAGGAGACTGTTAGATGTATCATGTGCCCGTTCTCAAGATAATTCTCATACATTGTGGGTGCTTTCATTGAATATATGTTTCTTCAAAGTCATGGCTGATGGCCTTTTTGGTAGGCCCGAAACAGTTTGCCCTCAAGCTCTCGTCTCTATTTGAGAGTGTGAGGGTTAGTCTTATTCACATCACTCCTGTCGGCCATATCTTAGTGTAAGTGAAGATTCGAGAGGTGGCATTATTGTCCTTGGAAATCATGTCTTTAATGCGCATCATGCTTCAAACATCTTTTCGGAGGTTTTATCATGAAGAACTTTAGGAACTGAAACGCTCAAGTCATTTGTTAAGGTGATCTGGAGCATAGATAGTTCTTGTTGTTTTTAGCAAGTTATCACAAGATTATTAAAAAGTCAATTTTGAATTTTCTTGAAGAGTTATCTTTGTTTCTTTGTCACCTTCATTTTCTATGATGCCTTTCCATCCTTAGTTGAAGAAAGTAATGTCCATTATGAGTCAAAAATCAAAATAAGATACTTCTACCTCGTATGTCAAGCTTGTCTCTTCTTCAAGTGTCTCTACCTTTGTTCGATAAAGTGGTCTTGACGGAGTCTTTTTGGACATAGGCTCATCTTCGGATTAGGGAATCTTAATTTCTATCAAAGATAAGAGAACACCTCGCCTAAGGGACATAGAGTTCCATCAATCAGGCTCAAGAAATAATCTCGCTTGAAGAACTTATAGTCATATTAAACAAGCATATCAAAACATCCCACCTGAGTAACTTTGAGTTTCCTCGGGCAGGATCCAATTTAAATTCTCGCCCAAAGGATGTGAATGAAGTCTAGCATAAGAGGCTTAACTTAATGTCTCGTCTAAGGGCTTGATTGAAGTCCCGCATGATAAGTCTAATGCCTTTCCTGGAGGACTTAAAGTCTCATCATTCAGCATTAACACATATCTCGCATGAGGTACTTCAAAACCCATTAAACAGACTTTTCTAAATTCCTCACTTTGTGGGAAATAAAGTGTTATCAGTCGATCATAATACATAACCTCGCTTGAGGGACTTCAAGTAACATTAAACAAGATTATCTAAATGCCTCTCCTAAGGGACACAGAGTCTCATCAGTCGGGCTCAAAACATAATCTCTCCTGAAGGACTCCAAGTTCAATTAAACAGACTTATATAAACTCCTTGCCTGAGTGACTTGGAGTTTCCTCGGGCGGGTTCCAACTTAGCGTCTCGCCCAAGGGACATGACTAAAGTCTAGACAAAGATACTTAACTTAAAGTCTTGTGTGATGGCTTGATAGAAGTTCCGCTCGAGAGGTCTTATGCTTCGGCTAAGGGACTTAGAGTTTCATCACTCGAGATCAACACATAATCTCGTTTGAGGGACTTCAGTACCATTTAAAAAGCTTATCTAAATGCCTTACATGTGAGACTTAAAGTCTCATCAGGCAAGCCCAATGTATTATCTCTCCTAAAGGACTTAGAGTCTCACTGAATAGGCCCATCTAAATGCCTCGCTTAAGGGACTTTGAATCTCTTTAGACAAGGTTCAACTTAAAGTCTTTCCCGAGGGACTCAACTTAAAGTCTCTCATGAGTTACTCGACTATTAAGTCTCTCTTAGAGGACACGTTGTGAGTCTTCATCAAGAAAAATCCCACCTAGGATAGATTCATACACGGGAGTCTTAAGAATATGAGCATTATTCCTAATCACTTCGCTCTTTTAAAGTCCTCGTGATTGAAGGAATATGTACTAATATAATTTTATTAGGCCTCTAATAAGGTTATAGTCCAATGAAAATAAGGAAGGCTAGGCAAAAGGGCGTGGGATGAGCTACCCTGTAAAGTGAGGGGCCGCCTGAATAAGCCACATGGTCACCTGATAGGGGTCACGAGGCCACCCATATTGGGATTTTGCTATCTACTCCCCCAGTAAATGTGGGTGATGACATGGGCTCATAGGGATTTATTAACAAAGGGTCAGTAAAAAGGGGAAAATCGCTCTTCCCACAATCTAACAGATCAAGTCCTCCCATTATCATATTCCTTAGTCATGAAGTTAGGGTAAACAAATATATGGATATTTGTGCCAAGATCAAGAAGCCTTTATAAATACCTCATTCTTAAAATGAGAAGGGCAGAAGTGACACATAATACCTAAAGCTACATGTTTGTATACAAAGCCTCCCACCTCACTTGACTTGGCCTTTTAGATAACCATAAACATTGTAACATAATCATAAAAGGGTTCTCGATGTCGTGGGCAAGTCCTTACCACCCTAAACTTTTATAAACCTACTAAGGCCTCTGAGTATCCCCTACCCTTGAAAAGATACCCCACCTGTCCGAACAAGTTTGGTTTTACAACTATTCCTAAGTTTTGATGATAGCAAAGTATAAAATAAAAATTGTATTGTCTAACAATTTGTTGAGTGTCCAGAATTTGAGTTTACTTAAAGCAAAGAAAAGCTAAATCTGTTCCAAAAAGAGGTTGAATTAAGATAGATCTGTACAATCCAAGATGATGACCTATGTTGATCAAATTAGACTCTAAACCCTGGTCCTAGAGTGACTCTGAATATAGAGACTCTGGACTCTGATAAAAGAGACTCTGAAGTCTAGACTTCATCAGAATCTAATTAAATGTTATCCTTGTAGAATTTTTGGAGATATTATTTACTCTGGTTGTCAATAATAAACTCTTTTGAAGAAGGAAGCTCTGATACACACTGTGTTATCCTAACCTTATCTAGTCACCAGACCCTGAACATTTATTTTATCACTCGTATGCTAAAACATTGCTCTAGAGTATTTTAATGGGTGAAGAGTTATTATAAACTATGCTAATCAAACGTCAAATCAATAGTATTACTCTAAACGTATATAAAATATTTTCTTCCTTCCACCCAAGATGCACTAATGTACCTACCTACTCTACAACAAAAATGTTCCTTGAAGAAAGCTCCAATCCTATCCTCCAATGGATCTAATTCTTCCTATATAAAAATGTCAAAGGATTTATGTGTAGACTATGATGATGGGTGACTACTAAAGAAAAAGGCTTCCAAGCTAAAACTTCGTGATAAAGAAGATTCATTCAAGAAAATCATCATCAAGAAAGAGAGATTGAAGAAACACTGAGTTTCATTTCAAATATTCTCAAGTGTATAAATTGAATTACATTGTGTGTAAACTGTTTATTAATAAGAACTCTTGTAAACACAATCCACTTTATTAACTATTGTTAATATCCTTAAGAGACTAAGTGTAGTTAGAAATCCCAATAAGTCATTGATGGTTAGTCTTTGAGTTGTTTTCCTTGAGAAACTAATGTTTAGTCAGAATTTCTCAAGAAGTCTTAGGCAATTGGTGTTTGAGTTGTATAATCGGGTTGATTACTGAATGAAGTCCTTTTTAAAGGAAACTCACTCAGGCGAGTGGATTGGATGTAGCTTCGTTAATAGCGA